TTCAACTCTAATAATTTCACATTGTCAAAGAGGTTCTAGAATCTTCTTTAACTCGGGTCAACTCTTCGACTGCATTAGCGCCAAATAACTCTCTAATGGGTTGTTTTCCTTCCCCTTGATATTCCAATCATTGACGCTACCATTTCTTCTCCATTCCAAGGATCATCAAGCATACCATATAATTCTCCTCCGAATAATAAAGAACACGCCTTGTTGAGTTTTCCTGGCGCATTCTGTGCGAGCGCTTTGCAATTTGGTAATTCTTCTTTTGCTTTGTGAGCGATTTGCAAAGCCATTTGCATATCTTCTTCATACTCCGGACATACCTTATGGTTATGTAAATAATTTAAAAATGATATCACAACCTGAGGTTCCTTCGCGAAATTGGTCCATTTGAACATAACCAGATTTAAAAAGCTAGACAAGTAGATGCGAACAATGTACGTGAAGTTTACTTCCATGTCATCTGCTTCATCGTCGATATAATCTGTTACGCGGCGTGCAGCAATTTCTTCTGCGTCCGCGTCTGCGTTATCGAGTCCATCTTGATCTAAGAAAGACTTAGGACCAGTGCTAATTCCTCCGAAACGTAGATAAGAATTGAAAACTGATTCCGAGTGGAATTGAATTTACGGTTCTTTTTATATTTCTAAACAGCTATTTCCACGCGATGTGTTAGTGATTTCGATGGATCATAGAGTCTATTCTCATCATCTTCAATTGGTCCACTATCATGAAAATCTATATTAGCTGATTTCTTCTTCTTCTTCTTCTTCTGCTGAGGAATTGCTACGTCAACGGTCTCACTGGTCGAAGCGGTAGGATTATTTGCATCATTTTTTGAATTCGTATCGTCTAAATTTTTATCTTCCGTATCTTCTTCTATTGTTACTTTGCGATCCACAGTTTGTCAGTTGAAGGGGGATCATTTGTGCCATTAACCAAAGTTGTATCACTTTTTGTTATCGTTTAAATTTTTATTTCCGGATTCTCGTCTTCCTTCATATTCACAATTTCACTGGTTGAAAAGGGATCGTTTGTCTTTTATTTTCGACCAAGTTTTTATTTTCTATTAATTGAGAGTGTTTTTAATTTTCGAGAGTATGAGAGTATTGTTTTTAGTCTGTTGTTTATAAAAATTTGATACTTATAAGAATGATATACTTGTAAAAAGGATAGGTTTTATTTTTTAGAGTATGAGAGTATTTTTTTTTAGAAAACTGATGGTATATATATATGTTGAGAGTATATATATATTTGTAAAAAAATCGCGACTCGCGACTCGTGAGTAAAAAAATGATGACTCATCAAATAGATGAACTTGTGTGCGCGCCTATCATGATTATCATGATACGGCGATTGAATATATTAATACACTAACAGCTAATATAAATCATACTATAAAACAACTACTTTATGTATATATTAATATAATACACAATTAGCTTTATGTAAATTTTAAAGAAATTATAATATGGAAATAACTAAGTATAACCATAGGTGATCATCACCGATGTGTAATCATGATATCATATCACGTGTACTGATCGTTAAAATGATTAAGATGATTACCCTTTCTTTTCCTTTTCTCTTTTTTTTTTCTGTTGGTTTATTTCCTTTTTTATTATTCTTTGTAATATCTCGACTTTTTTAATTATCCTATCATAATGAACTAACACTGAAATAAATAACGATAAAGAAGTTTATCTTGATGATTCTGAAAGTGAGGCTGAAAACTCTCACATTATATTGAACTTGAGTATGAAATTCCAATCGTGGGAAGAATTTGAAGCTTATTTAGATTGATATGCATTACAAGAAGGTTTTGCTTATAAAAAAACAAGAGTAGAGTATCATTTAAGTCATGATAAGATGAAAGATTTATCAGTTGAAGAGAAAAACAGTATATTAAAAGAAGAACATATGAATGTCTACACTCTTGACATCATGTATCAAAAAAAGTTGTTGATCTTGAAACTCAGCGAAATAGAGAATCACACCAAATTGATTGTCCTTGGCGGGTTAATGTAACAAAGCCTAAAAAAGAAAATTCTATTGGTATAACCTCTGTTAATCATAATCACAACCACAATATGAATCCATTGGTCAGAGAAATGGTTCCAAAATTTAGAAAATTTACACAACTATACTTGATGATATTGAGTTTTATGTAAAACATAGGACAACAGGTGCAAAATCAATATTTCCACTAATACATGCAAAGTTTCCTGACCATCCAATTTGCAAAAAGGATTTATATAATGCTATACAAAAGTTTAAAGTTGGACAAAAGAATACTATTGAAAATGATGCTGCTAACCTTTTATGATATTTGTATCATGAAAAACAACAAAATTCTGATTGGTTTTTTGAATTTCAGTTGTCCAAATCTAATCAAAGATTAACTTCATTAATATGGATATCACCTGATCAACGCTCTTGTTATATACGATTCCATAAAGTTTTAATATTTGATTGTACTGCAGGAACAAACCGATATGATATGGTGTTATGTTTATTTATTATCATTGATAATAATACAAAATCTAGATTAATAGCAAGTGCTTTATTGGAGGATGAAACAGAAGCTTCTTTTATATGGGCATTACAGCAGTTAAAAAAATCAAATAATCATATCAGTATTTTGATATTTCAATGATATTTATATTATTAAAATACGATATTTCATTGATAAAAGGAGTTTACAAAAATAAAGAAAGAAACGTTAGTAACGTTTCCTTAAAAAAAAATAAAAAAAAAGAATTGAAGTTTCAAACTGAAACTTCAAAACCTAACTAAAATTTAATATCCAGAAAGTACCTACAAAAAAAAGAAGAAATGTTAATACATTTCTTACAAAAAAAAAGAATAAAAAAAATCTTGTTTCGCAACGTTTTATTGCGAAACTTACTGTTTCATTTTGAAGCACTGAGCCGAAATACTTTAACCTACAAAAAAAAGAGAGAAATGTTAGTATAATGTTACTATAAAAAGAAAAATAAATTTTTTTAAGTTTCGCAACAAAACAAAATGTCGTGAAACTTACCATCATTTCAAATTTCACAAGACTGAACGAAATACTTGAACCTACAAAAAAAAGAGAAAAACGTTAATATAACGTTTTGTCAAAATTTAAAATAAAAAAAATTTTGAAAGTTTTCTTACCTTTGAAATGTGCGACAGAAAAGGCAAAAACCTACAAAAAAAAGACAAACGTTAGTATTAAATGTTTCGTCAAAATTTAAAATAAAAAATTTTTTGAAGTCTTTACTTTCGAAACAGTGATCGGAAAGTGAAAAACCTACAAAAAAAGTGATAAACGTTAGTATTAACGTTTTATCAAAATTTAAAATAAATTTTTCAGTCTTCTTATCTTCAAAATAGATAACTAGAAAGGCAGGAACCTACAAAAAAAAAGAGATGAATGTTAGTATTAACATTTCGTCAAAATTTAATAAAAAAAATAAGAAATCTTCTTACTTCTGAAATAGATGACCAGAAAGGCGAAAACCTACAAAAAAAAGATGAATGTTAGTATTAACATTTTGTCAAGATTTAAAATAAAAAAAAATTTCAAAGTCTTCTTAGCTTTGAAATAAGCGACTGAAAAGGCGGAAAACCTATAAAAAAAGTGATGAACATTAGTATTAACGTTTCATCAAATTTAAAATAATTTTTTGGTCTTCTTACCTTCGAAATGGGTGACCGAAAAGGTGGAAACCTACAAAAAAAAGATGAACATTAGTATTAACATTTCGTCAAGATTTAAAATAAAAAAAATTTTTAAAGTCTTTTTACCTTTGAAATAGACGACCGAAAAGGCAGAAAACCTACAAAAAAAGTGATGAATATTAGTATTAATGTTTCGTCAAAATTTAAAATAATTTTTTGGTCTTCTTACTTTTGAAATGAATGACTGAAAAGTGGAAACCTACAAAAAAAAAGAGACGAACATTAGTATTAACGTTTTGTCAAGATTTAAAATAAAAAAAATTTTTGAAGTCTTTTTACCTTCGAAATAGACAACCGGAAAGGCAGAAACCTACAAAAAAAAAGATGAACATTAGTATTAATGTTTCATCAAAATTTAAAGTAAAAAAAAATTATAGTCTTCTTACCTTCAAAACAGGTGACCAAAAAGTAAAAACCTACAAAAGAAAAAAGATGAAACGTTAGTATTACTGTAATGTTTCGTTAAAATTTAAAATAAAAAAAATTGAAGTCTTACCTTTGAAATGGATGTCTGGAAGGGCGGGAACTTACAAAAAAAGAGAAGAACGTTAGTATTAATATTTCGTTAAAATTTTAATAAAAAAAGTATTTTCAAAGTTTTACCTTCGAAATGGGTGATCGGGTGAAACAAAAAAGTTTATTTCTGAAGTTAAATCAACCTTGGAAATATATATATACAGTCACATCTTCATAAGTACATCCTTTATAAGTGCACTCCCTCTCTATATGCACGCCATAGCTTAGTCCCAAGCTAGGGACTTAGTGCTAAGTGCACACCCTCTATGTTCTACACGTGCAAGTAATTCTGAATCCTGAGTATATTGGAACACTCTCCATAAGTGCATTCACATGATAATGACATAATATTAACTAATCGTTTAGTCCTGATTAATTTTAAAATTTGTCAATATTATATACATTCTGAAGAAAATCAATTTTATTAAATTATTTTATACACCACATAAATTATTTTTGTTATGTGTGATTCTGAAAGATGAATCTATAATTATAAGCATATGAACATTTATTTATTTTTGCTTAATCAATTATCCCAAATTAGTATAGCCAGGGAAGATTTTTTTAAGAAGGCTATATTAACAAGGAAATATTGCATGTTAATATATAAACAAACCCCATAGAATAAAAAAGTAGATTGTCATGTATCTAAATTAAGAAAAAAGAATGATGATTTCATTATTATTTAATAACAATGAAATCATCCATATGCCCTAATCCCTAAATATGTCTCTTAAAAGAACAATTCTTACTGAAATCCAAAAGCGAGAAATTTGCACTTATGCTCGTGATAATAAAAGGACTTGCACTCAGTATGTTGATTAAATTGAAGAAAGTGGCATGTTAGAGTTAACGAGAGTACAATTATTCGTATCCTACAGACAGCAGAAAAAAGATTTAATTCAAAAACTATTAGTTCAAATACCAAGCGACATAAGCCAGTCACCTATCCAGAACTTGAGCTAGCGCTCAAGGAATTTGTTTTAGATTACTAGTATCGAATGATTCTGTCTGATGCACTACTTATCAAAAAAGCCAAAATGATTGCTGATGAATTAGATATTTTCTGAGATGCGTTACAATTTTTCTCAGAATGGCTCCATAAATTCAAAAACCACAATGGAATTCATCAACAAAAGCTTGAAGGAGAAGTTTCATCTGCTGATGAAGCTGCTATTGCTAACGCTTTACCCTTATTAAGAGAATATTGTTCTAACTACCCTCTTAAGAGAATATACAATATG